ATCATCATCATCATCATCATCATCATCATCATCCCACAACCTCTTAGTGCTGTTTGTCCTGATAAAATTATTAATAAATAAATAAATCCAGATCTGCCCTGGGTGTCTCAGTGCAAATAAAGGGAAAGCTGAGCTGGCCAGGATCCACAGGATCAAACACTCCAGCTTCATCATCATCGTCATCATCACACAGTCTCTTATTAGTGCTCATCCAGGTGAAATTATTAAAAAAAAAGTACATTTCCAGATGAAATGAAGCTTTATCCAAAGCAAGGAGTGGAGTTTTGACAACCAAGGGGCTGCTCAGAGCTGGAGCATCCTCAGAAAAACCCCGGGGTGGGCAGGGAGGAAAATCCTGCACTAATCCCAAAGTTCCCCGTGCCCAGAGCAGAGGCAGGAGCTGCTGCTGCCTCCCAGCAGCAGGGAAAGCTCCATTGCTCAGGGGGCTGGGGGCAAATTTCAGCACAAATCAGCCCAAATCTGCAATTCCAGAGGCTCCACAGCCGAGTGGGGAATTCCAGGAAGGAATTGCAAGGCCCCAGAGGGAGGGAGGGAGGGAGGGAGGGAGGGAAGGCTCTTACCTTTCTGCAGGGTGCTGGGGAAGGACAGAGTGACCTTTTCATCCTCGTTTTGGTAGTTGAACCCTGTGGCGTGAACCTCTGCAAAGGGAAAAGCATCACTGGGATCAGAACCCTCCTGGAAAGGGGTTTGGGCTCCAAACTCTGCAAATTCACCCAAAGCAGCTGAGCTCGACAGCTCTGAGTGAATCCTGAGCCATTCCATGTGAGGAACCACAGGAACAGGAATCCTCCCTCGTGGTGGGGAAAGTTGGGCTGAAAAACCCCAAACCTGCAGGAAAATTGGGATTTGTGTGTCCTGGGAACATCATGGTGGGAATTCCAGGAGAGAAATGGTGCTGAAAAACCTGCAGGAAAAATGGGATCTGTGCCCCAGGAATGGTGAATACAGCCCCAAACTGCTGCCCTTGCTGGTAAACATTCCCATCAGTGCAGCAGGATTCCCATTAATTATCCCAAACAGGATGCTTAGGATTTATTTACCTAATTTGTGGCTCTCACTCTGAAAATCCCATTAATCTCCACAGCAATGAGGGGGGGTTGCTTGGATTTAACCACAAAATAAATGTTGATTTTATTTCAGAAATGCCTTCTGAAGCAGGGCCCTACTTTGGGGCTCCTGCTCTGCTCAGGGAGAGGATGCCAAAGGCACCCAAAAATGGGGTAATTCGGTATTTACACAGCACAGGACAATGAAAACAAAGGGAGGAAGCACCTAGGAGTGAGATTTGTAGATGCAAAAATCCAAACTGTGCACGGGGATGAGACTGTCCTGGAGCACCTGGTGCTGCTTCTCCCTTCCTATTCCACCACATCCTCCAAGGGGATGTGGATCTGTTCTCATTCAGCCAAAAAACCCTGCAATAACCCCAGAGAACCTCACTCTGCTCCCTCCGTGCTCAGCCACTGCTGCAACCTGTAAGAAATGATCATCCAAGAACCCGAAATCTGCTCCAAGCCAGCACCTTCAGCTGCCAAGGGCGGCAAGCCCGGACACAGCCAGGCACTCCTCAGCCCAGAACAAACCCTGCTGCTCGAGCAAGGCCTTGAAGGACAGAGGCAGGCTGAAACCACAGCTTTGGCCACAAAAGGACTCGTTTTCCTGCTCGGGTGTCACTCCTGGCGTTGGGTTTCAGCCCCTGCGGGATGCTCCAGGGTGCCCGAGGGAAAGGGAAGCTGGCTTGGCTGCTGAGCTGGAATTTGCAGAGCTGATTGTTCTGGAGCTGTGTGATTCCAGCCTTGAACAGAGCTGTTTGTTCTGGAGCTCTGTGATTCCAGCCTTGAACAGAGCTGATTGCTCTGGAGCTGTGTGATTCCAGCCTTGAACAGAGCTGATTGTTCTGGAGCTCTGTGATTCCAGCCTTGAACAGAGCTAATTGTTCTGGAGCTCTGTGATTCCAGCCTTGAACAGAGCTGTGTGATTCCAGCCTTGAACAGAGCTAATTGTTCTGGAGCTGTGTGATTCCAGCCTTGAACAGAGCTGATTGTTCTGGAGCTCTGTGATTCCAGCCTTGAACAGAGCTAATTGTTCTGGAGCTCTGTGATTCCAGCCTTACAGAGCTGTGTGATTCCAGCCTTGAACAGAGCTGATTGTTCTGGAGCTCTGTGATTCCAGCCTTGAACAGAGCTGTTTGCTCTGGAGCTCTGTGATTCCAGCCTTGAACAGAGCTCTGTGATTCCAGCCTTGAACAGAGCTAATTCCAACCTCTGCTCAGCGCAGCAGCTGCAGGAAGGAATTAGGTTTAAGTACAGGTTTCACAGAGCTCTGCTCAGGGTTTAGTCTGGGTTAACCACAGTGCTGGGGTGCAGAGCACTGAAAGGCTCCAACAACACAGCAAAACACAGGGCAGGAATAATTATATTAAAAAAAAATCTCCACAGGATCAATTGCAGGCTCAATTTTAGGCTCTTCTGATCCGTGCTGAGCACAATACAGCAAAACACAGCCCAGGAATAATTATATTAAAAAAAATCTCCACAGGATCAATTGTAGGCTCAATTTTAGGCTCTTCTGATCCGTGCTGAGGATTTCCAAGATTTTACAAATCAGCTGAGTTGAGCACTGAAGAAGAATCCATCCGAGGACACCCAGCTGCCAGCAAATATCAAAAATCAAAAATGAAAGTCTGAGTTTTCTTCTTAAAACTGGGGATACCGAGGCAGAAAATGAGCCAGGAGAGGAAGATCTGGAGGAGAACAATCCTGCTGGGTTGGGGTCCAGCAGAGAGGAGCTGGCTGCTGATTTTGGTCCTGGTTATCTCCAGAGTCCACCAGAGCAATGAGGGCCACCCTGGGCAGAGAGGGGCAGGACCTGCTGGGAATGTACTGATTCATCAATAAATCAATCAATAGCCATTGATCAGCTGAGGAATCCTGCTGCTGGACCGTGCTCAGAGTCCCTGATCAGACCAGGGGGGCAGCAATGCTCCCCACCTGGACTTTGGGGGGTTTTTAAACACCACCACGGCAAGGCTACAAGATAAAAATTATATATATATATTTTTTATTTTTTTTTTTACAGCTTCCAAAGGCAAGGATCTGATCCTGCAGCCTCCTGGGACTCAGGAGCACACAGGAACGTGTGGAGCTTCTGCCAAAGGCTGACCATGGATGTCAGCTTTCCTCCTCCTCCTCTCTCAATTGCAGGCTCTCTGTTTGGCTTTGAATTTGTGGAATTTCTGCTGCTTTGGAAGTTTTAACTTGTCCCAAAAAGAATAAGAGGTGAACATCACTGAGGCTGGAAGAGGAAACACTGAAAGCTCCAGGGATTTCTGAATCTCCAAGCAGCTCCTTACAAATCACACCCCAAAACAGCAGGGCAAGAACCAAAGAGTCCAAATTACATTTTCACTCTTTTTTTTTTTTTTTTTTTTTTTTTTTTTTTCTTTTTTTTTTTTTTTGGGGGGGGGGGTGTCTTTTTGGGTTGGGGTTTTTTTTTGTTTTTTTGGTTTTTTTGGTGGTATGTTTTGAGGTTTTGGGTTTTTTTTTTGTTTGTTTGTTTGTTTTTTTGCCTTTGTTTTTGAAGGTTATTTGTTTAAACTCCTTATTCAATGGCAATAATTTAATCCAGAGCAACAAAGCATGGAAAACACTGGGCAATGCTTTCTGCTGGAGTCAGGGGAGCTGCTCCTGGCGGGGCTGAGCGCAGCAGAGGCTCCGGAACGCAAAAGCTCCTGCAGAGAAGAGCCCAGCTCTGCATTTGGCACTGCAAGGTTGCAAGTTAATCACTTGCACATTGCAGCACAGCCCGGGCTGGGGAAAGAAAAGCTGCCAGAGCTGGAGGAAAAAAAAAAAGGGATTTTAAAAAATTTTTGTCATGGAGAAAAAGAAGATAAGACGGGAGAAAATGAAAATCAAGGGAGGAAGCGCCTAGGAGTAAGATTCCCACTTAAATCAGAAAAATGCACAAAGTGGAGAGGGACTGCTGCAGGTTTGAGGAGCTGGAGTGGGAGAGTTTGGAATAAATCCCATTTCCTGCAGAGGGATCCAGCCATGGATGATCCCAAACCCTGCTGGAGCCCAGAGCTGGACCCCCGAGGGCCCCGACCCCAAAAGGCCAGAGCAAACCTTCCTGCAAAGCGGGCTTTTCAGAATGGGAATTTTCCCAAAATGGAATTTTTCTCAAAATGGAATTTTTTTCAAAATGGAATTTTTCTCAAAATGGAATTTTTTTTCAAGACAGAGGTTTTTTTTTTTTTTTTAAATGGATTTTTTTTTTTTTTTAAAGATGGAATTTTTTTCAGAATGGAGCTTTTCTCAAAATGGAATTTTTTTCCAAGATGGAAATTTTTCAAGGAGCCCTTCCGTGGTGTGGAGAAGTCACTGGGTAGTTAAGGTTTGGGTTTAATTGTTTTAGTTGGTTTGTTTGGGTTTTTTGATCGGTTTGGTTTGGGTTTTGGGGTTTTTGGTTGGTTTGGGTTTTTTGGTTGGTTTGGTTTGGGTTTTGGGGTTTTTGGTTGGTTTGGGTTTTTTTGTAAAAGGCCAGAGCAAACCTTCCTGCAAAGCGGGCTTTTCAGAATGGGAATTTTCCCAAAATGGAATTTTTCTCAAAATGGAATGGACCCCCGAGGGCCCCGACCCCGCAAGGCCAGAGCAAACCGCGCCTTCCTGCAAAGCGGGGTTTTCAGAGTGGAAATTTTCCCAAAATGGAATTTTTTTCCAAGATGGAAATTTTTCAAGGAGCCATTCCTTGGTGTGGAGAAGTCACTGGGTAGTTAAGGTTTGGGTTTAATTGTTTTGGTTGGTTTGTTTGGGTTTTTTTGGTCGGTTTGGTTTGGGTTTTGGGGTTTTTGGTTGGTTTGGGTTTTTTGGTTGATTTGGGTTTTTTGGTTTGTTTGTTGGTTGATTTCATTTGTTTTTTGGTTGATTTGGTTTGTTTTTTGGTTGATTTGGGTTTTTTGGTTTGTTGGTTGGTTGATTTCGTTTGTTTTTTGGTTGATTTGGTTTGTTTTTTGGTTGATTTGGTTTGGGTTTTGGGTTTTTTGGTTGGTTTGGGTTTTTTGTTTGTTTTTTGGTTGATTTGGTTTGGGTTTTGGGTTTTTTGGTTGCTTTGGGTTTTTTGGTTGGTTTGGGTTTTTTGGTTGGTTTGTTGGTTGATTTGGTTTGGGTTTTTTTGATTGATTTCTTTTGTTTTTTGGGGGGTTTTTTTATTTGTTTCTTTTTTTAACCAGCACCCAAATCTCTGGTGTAACATCCAGGCCCATCCCCATCACATGGAGAAGGAAAAGACCAAAATAACGAATTCAGTCCCCAAAAACCTCCTCAGGTCTGAGCACAACCCAAACCTCCCTGCACAAACACCCCCAGAGCTGCTGCATCCCCAGCTGGATGCTCAGGAACTCCTCTGGACCCCCAGGATCTGAGGGGATTCCAAACAAACTCCCCAATTCCACAGCTGAGAGAGGATTCGCAGGAAGCTCCAAACTCCTTCACATCCCCAGGATGAAACTCAGCCCCTTCCAAAAACTGACATTTTTCTGAATCTCCAGCTCATCCTTGCTCTTCCTGAGCCAAGGCATCCATCAGGACACGTGCACACCTCGGTGATAAAATTCCACTGGAAATGTTACAAAAACCCCAAAAAAACCCAAAAAACAAACAAACAAACAAAAAAACCCCAAGAAAAAAACCAAAAAACAAAAAGGCAAACCAGCTCTGGGGAGAAAATAAAATATAAAACTGCCCAGGCAGCTTGAATGCAGCCATGGAAAGCTCTGGTGCTTTGAGCAGCTTTGTTCCATTACAGCATTGCTGGCACAGACCAAGCTGAGTTTTGGGATGAAACTGAGGAATTTCTGCTCCCCAGTGCTCACTCTGCTGCTTTTGTTGCTCAGTTCTTGCTGCTCTGTTGTTACTCAGCAAAAATTCCTCCCTCTGACTTTAAGGCTGTGGGGATCCTCCCTGAGCTTCCTGTCCAACGTTGGGCAATAATCTGATTTCCCTGCAGACCTGCATTGCAATTCCAAAGTCCTGCCCTGTGCTGTGCCCTCGGGGGCACACGGAGCTGCAGCCACAACCTGCAGGGCAGGGGCGCTGACAAGGACTGGGCAAAAAACCAAATTATTCTGCACAAAAGTCAGTAGACCAGCTCCTTAAACAAGGAACTGGGGTCTGCCAGATGAAATCTCTGTGCCAGCACTGCTTTTCAGGCTGGGAAAGGAGATCAATTCCCAATTATTTGTTATTTTTAGCGAGGGTGAGACCAACTCCTGCCCACAGAAGGCAGGGTGACAATTCTTTACAAGCACCATCAACTCCTGCCCGGTTCCAGGGGTGAGCTCCCAGGAGCTGATGTCTGCAGGGCTCATTTTTGGGGAGCAGTTCCACAGCTCCCATCCCCGAGCACAGGGTATCAACAGGTGCCAATTCTCCTTCCAAAGCCATTCTGCTCCTTGGCACGTTCCCAAATCCCTCAGATCTGCTTTTAACCCCGTGGAGCCTGGGTGTGACCATGGGAATTCATTGGTTTTATATATTTTTAAAAATTTATTTTAAAATTTCTAAATATTTTTAATTTTTAAGCTATTTCAATATAATTTTAATTATAAATTTGAATTCTATTTATTATCATAAGTTTAATTTGATTAATTTTATTCTTTTCATTTCATTCTTTTCGTTCTATTTTCATGTTTTAATTTTCATTTTCTTCATTCTAACCTTATTAACTTTAGCATTCTCAATTTATCCTTTCCCTTTTATTCATTTTAATATTATTAATTTTAACTTTCCATGACAAATTCTGGAATTCCTGGGTGCTTTTCCCCTTTATTTCCATTTTCTCAGTGACAAACTCTGGAATTCCTGTCGCTCTGCTCTTCCCTCGTTATCTCCTCGTTACTCAGGAGGAGCAGTAACCCCTCAGAAGGTATTTCTCCTAATTAATAATTAATAGCCCACCAGCAGGCAGGGGCAGGGACAGCCGGGGTACACTTGGGGACATTCTCCTCCGGGGCCCTTTCTGAGCTGAGCTCTGCTTTCCCACACACGCCCTCCTCCCCGAGCAGCTTCCTCACGCCCAAAGCATCCTTCAGAACCGAAAAAGAAATCAATCCTGCTCAAATGCAGAGCTGGGTGGGGACGTTCTGCTCGGGATCCCGGGATTCCAGAGCCTTTTGGGGCGGGGGGGACCTCAGATCCCACCCAGTGGCACCCCTGCCCTCCAGGGACCCTCGCACTGTCCCTGGGTGCTGCCAGCCCTGGCTCTTCCCTGTGCAAATCCATGGGCCAACAGAGCTGGAGTCAGCCCCACAAAACCCAGTGCAGAAATTCACATTCCTCTTCTTCTTCAGGTCTCCAAACACTTTCCTTCCCTCTCTCCAGCCCTCTCCTCACCTTTATCCAGCCCTCTCCTCACCTTTATCCAGCCCTCTCCTCACCTTTATCCAGCCCTCTCCTCACCTTTATCCAGCCCTCTCCTCACCTTTATCCAGCCCTCTCCTCACCTTTATCCAGCCCTCTCCTCACCTTCCAGCCCTCTCCTCCCCTTTATCCAGCCCTTTCCTCCCCTTTATCCAGCCCTCTCCTCCCCTTTATCCAGCCCTTTCCTCCCCTTTATCCATCCCTCTCCTCCCCTTTATCCAGCCCTTTCCTCCCCTTTATCCAGCCCTCTCCTCCCCTCTCTCCAGCCCTCTCCTCCCCTGTGTCCAGCTGTGCACAAATAACCAAGTTTAGATCTGCCCAAAGAACACCTTCCCCCATCCATCACCATCCCATAGTCCCTAAGCACTCCTCTAAGCAAGTGTTCTGTGGTATGTTCCTCACGGAAAGGGGCATTCCCTGTGGAACGGGATTCCTGCTCCCTGCAGGGCTCAGGAGCAGCTGAAGGGCAGAGCCCCCTGAGAGCCCAGCAAGGCCGTGCCCACGGTGAGACAGCTCCTCCAGGTCACACCTCAGCTGCTGAAGGCCTTTGGTGTCTGCAAATCCCCCCAGACAGACCTGGGGAAGTCACTGGCTGCAGCTGAGTGTCACAAACTTCTCCAGGAGCTCCCAGCCTTTCCCTGAGCTGGATCCCACCCTGGTCTCCTCCTCACAAGCACATTTTTCCATGCTGTCCAACACTCAAAAATCCTGCTAAATGCCAATTAAGTGTTTTCTGTGCTTTCCAAACCCTTTCCTGGGACTATTTCCTTCTGCAGGCTGTTACTGATGCATTCCCTGTCAGGGATTTTGTCAATATTCCCAAATCCATAGGCACAGAAGTTCTCAGAAGTTTACATGATATCAGGATATAAAAATAATATCAAAGCAGCCCAGCATCCTCTGCCTACACCCCTCAGGAGAGGTGGAGGAGATTGAAGGCATTCTTTACAATGAAGGAATTCCTTTCCCAAAACACAAATGAAGGAATTCTTACCATAACACAAATGAAGGAATTCCTTTCCTGTAACACAGCTGAAGGAATTCCTTCACCATAACACAAATGAAGGAATTCTTACCATAAAATAAATGAAGGAATTTTTTACCAAAACACAAATGAAAGAGTTTCTTTACCATAACCCAACTGAAGGAATTCCTTCACCACAACCCAGCTGAAGGAATTTTTTACCATAACCCAACTGAAGGAATTCCTTCACCACAACCCAGCTGAAGGAATTCTGAAGGAATTCTTCACCATAACCCAGCTGAAGGAATTCTTTACCATAACCCAACTGAAGGAATTCCTTCACCACAACCCAGCTGAAGGAATTCTGAAGGAATTCTTCACCATAACCCAACTGAAGGAATTCTGAAGGAATTCTTCACCATAACCCAACTGAAGGAATTCTTCACCATAACCCAACTGAAGGAATTCTCTACCACAACCCAGCTGAAGGAATTCTTTTCCATAACCCAGCTGAAGGAATTTTTTACCATAACCCAACTGAAGGAATTCTTTACCACAACCCAGCTGAAGGAATTCTTCACCATAACACCAGTGGCAGCCATGAGGGCCAGCAGGGAGCCAAGGTAAGGAATTCTGTGCTTCCAGGGCGAGGCTGGGCTGATCCAACCATGCCATCACTTTGTTATCAGAGCTGCTGGGCTGCTGGCAGCAGCTGCAGAGGCAGAAACGAAAGCAAGCAGGGCTCCTACCTTCGTCTCCTTCCGGGGCGTAGGACGCGGTGATGATGTCGATGTCGGCGCAGTTCATCACGATTTGGTTGGTTGCATTTTTCACCTGCAACAGAAACGCCATCAGCGCCAGGAAGAAATGGGAATTCTCAGCTCTCACCCATCTAAAAAGCACCTGCAGCTGTTTGAAGGAGGGTTGGGTGTTTGGGATGGGGAAGGAGAAGGAGGTACTGCAGAGCACGAGCTGTGCTCAGCCGCTCGTCTCCACTGGGAATTGTTTAATGCTGGGTAAAAAACAGGGCTGAAAACTTCACAATGGGGCCCTTGTGCAGGCCTGGGACTCCAAACCCAATAAAAACAGATCCTGAGCCCATCAGCCTCCTTTGGGCACGGCCTAAGGGAGAGCAGAGTGAAAACCTCCTTTGGAGATAGCACCAACACAACCTCTGTGCGTGCTCCAGGCTGTCAGAACTCCTCACTGAAAAACATCTGCCAGGAGATTCTCCTTCCCCTTTCCTGGGAGCTTCCCTTCTGCCAGCTCTTGGCTCCTCACACTTTGCTTTATTTACCAAGTGCCAGCTCCCAGCGTAGGAATAAACCGTGGGGCTGTGCCAGTTCTCTGCTTGAACGCGAGAGCCTGAATACAGAGGAATTCAAATTAAATAAAAATTAATTACAAAGGGGCAAAATATTTGGGAGTTAAACCAGGGAGTTATTCAGACATTTATGGCTGGAACCACCACAATGATCAGGCTGGATCAAGCTGGGAATCCAGCTTGTCCAGGGTAGGATTTCTAGCAGGAGGCACCAGCAGTTTCTTAAATAAAGGAGTAAAAATTTCTGTAACAACCAGCCAGATTTAACACAGGCATAAAGAAACTGCTTCCTACCCCAGAATGAGCTCATTAAAGCCTAAGAAAGTCCATCCCTGTTTTGTTTTCCCTCATTACTATAACCTTAAAATGCTCTGAATAACCTGCACCCATCATTGCAGGTATCCATGCCTGAACTGGGCAGCAGGAACACGCTGGAGCTGCCTCCAGCCCGGGGTCTGGACAAGGAGAGTGCAGAGGAGGGGATCCGAGGGAGGGAGCAGCTCTGCTGGGAGGAAAAGCTGGGAAAAAAAGTGGGAAAGGTGGGATTGTTCAGCCTGGAGAAGAGCAGGCTTAGGGGTGACCTGGGTTCAGGCTCCCTGAAAGGAGGCAGGAAGGAAAATGGAATGAATTGAAGAGTGCCAGGGAAAGGGGGAGTGGGTTTGAACTGCCAGAGGACAGGGTGGGGTGGGACATTAGGAAGGAATCCCTCCCTGGGATGGGGTTCCCAGGGAAGCTGTGGCTGCCCTGGATCCCGGGAATGGCCCACTGAAGGGGTGCCCTGCCCATGGCAGGGTGGCACTGGATGGCACTGCAGGTCCCTTCCAGCCCCAGTTCCACGATTCCACGCCCTGTGCGTGCTCAGGCCGGCTCACCTCGCAGGCAGCACACTAATTATGATTTTGTTTTGTTTGTAAAGCCACAAGGAAAGGCTCAGGTGTCCCCCAGCCCTGCCTGTGCCACCAGGGCCTGGGACCTGAGTGAGGGGAGGAGCTGGGAATGAACCAGGAATGGTCACCTGGGACACAAAACCCAAATTTGAGTCACCTCATGGAGAAGGGAGGACTGAGGAACTCAAATGTGTGATTCCACAGGTGTGGGATGGCCCAGCCCTGAGCTGGACCCCATGAGGGAGGACCAGCCCCACCCACCCCGACCCCTCTGACCTGACAAACATCCCTGGAATCGTTTAATTCATAAATACTATGCAAAGAAATGTTATGTTTTGCACTTTTTGGGTGCCTCCCCCCAGTCCTGCTCCCCTGCGGTGGTGTCACACCGAGAGGTGCAGCACAGCTGTTTCCACCTCGTGATGGAATTAAAATCAAATTAATTGTAATTAATAAACCCAACCTGACTGTGAAAACAGAGTTTTTGCAAAGCACTGAGAGCAAGTCTAACAGCTGAGGTGACACAGGGTAGATTTAACTTTTCCAGGAAAGATTTACAACCTGAAATCCACTTTGTTTTTTTTTTTTTTTTTAATTCTGAGTGCATAAAACTGAAAAATTACAAAGCTTCCCCCAAACCCAAAAATCAAGGCTCAACAGTTTTTACCACAATACTGGAGCTTGGGGGGTTTCTCAAGGTTTTTCTAAAGCACAGAAAAATCAGGATGAGAAAAGCTTTTTATAAGTGTCTGGAGACCTTTATTCAATCTATAAACCCAAATCTCTCTGGATTCGGAGCTGTCCAAATTGCAGACAATGTCAGTTTAACAATGGGCTTGATCTTTAAAAAACAACTTTTTCCAGGACACAACTTTCAGTGGAGCACTGAGCCTGCAAAATAAGAAAGTTTAGGTTTAAGCAGAGAAAATCCAGAGGCTCCTTAAACAGGCATTTATCTATTTTTAGGTATTTTTCCTCACTTCCTACCAATATCAAACCAGTTTTACGAGAGGGCAGCATAGTAGAAAATATCTAAAATGAGCCAGGAGGGTAAAAAAGCTCATTTTTTAAGCTATCCCAAAAAAGAAAAAAGGGTGAAATTCAGTGTACAGGCAGAAATTCTGCCTGCAGAGCTCAGCACCTTCTGAGAGTTTAATTCTGAGGGGAAAATGAATTTTTCCTGCTGCCAGCCAGGCTCCAGCAGGAGCCTCCTCCCTGCTCAGAGGTGCAGCCACACCTGTGAGAACAAAAACAGAACAGGAGCAGAACCTGTCCCAGCACGGGGCACTGATGGCCAGGAACAGCTCAAAAACTAATTCACTTAAAAATGAAATTTTATCCTTCCAAAATGCCACGTTCTGGAAGGAAGAGATTATGTTCATTCAGTGATTTTTATGTATTAAAGGCCCAAAAAAAGCAGATTTCTGTGTAAGGTAGAAGCAGTCAGCAACGTGTGGGGTTGTCACCCTGCTTCACCTTGCTCTGGAACATCAGAAATAAATCAGAAATAGACTTTTCAGCAAGAAAATTAATTAATTAAATTTAAATAATTGAGAGAAGAGCAGTTCTGCACAGCTCAGAAACCAGGTGGGCCAAGAGGAATACCTGGAGGGAAGGAATGGTTCAGGACTGCAAACTCCTGGCTTTTGATGAATGAAGTTGAAGACTGAATTAACCAGAATTCAAACACTATTTTGAGGTCAGACTCAGGCACCACGAGCAGGGAAGGGAAAATTCATCCAGCAGGAGAAAAGAGCTGAAATCCCCTCTAAAAAAAGTTTAATGTTTGATGGAAGAAGAGTTAAAAATGTTGATTTTTTTATCTCCACCAAAGAAAACCTAAAGGTGCTGTAAAGCTTGTGGTGGTCAAAGCAGGAAAGGATTTAATGGAAAATATTTTTCCAATGTTTTAGGATATCAGGAAGAGGGATTTGAACCCCAGCCTACCTGAAATACAGGCTGAGGTGCATCCAAAGGGATCTCCTGGAGCCAAAATTAATTCCAGATAATTCCAATCTTGTCACACAGCTCCAGAGCCCTTTTCTAAAAGCAGCACTACAACAACTGCGTGTGTTTTTAGCTATTTTCTCTCTAAAAATAGGCACCTAAATTTGCTCTGGGTTTGTGTTCCAGGGCTTGTCTTCTGTAAGAATTCAAACCTTCAATGAGGAGAACAACAAAGAGATTTATTAACCTGCATCTCCAGCAAATTCCAGCGGGCAAGGAGTAAAATTAACAAGGCCAGGACTAATTGGCCCACTGGAAAAGTTCCCTTGCTTCCAAAGCACACCCAGCTCCAGAGGTGTTGGATCCACAGGGTGAGCAAATCCCTTGGTGGTCGCTGCAAATCCACCCAGTCTGGGGAATTATGGGGCTCAAGGAGCTTTTTTGGGGGGAGAAGGGTAAAAAAACCCCATTTTTGAGCTGATGAGACGAGGAGAGCCCTGAGGTGCTGCCAGGCCCTTTAACCCTCCACTCCAGGTTTAACTGAACGAGCTGGAAATGCAAATTCCAAGGCTGGAGAGCAGAGGATTTATCCTGGACGGGTTCCCCTCTCCCCAGGAGCACAAACACTACACCCAGCCAGCTCCATTTCCCCAGGATCCCACCCCAGAGTGTCACCATTAATCTTTAACCAGCCCTACACATTCCTCAGGCCAGCACAGCTTGCATCACGAACCTATAAAAAGCAGCAGACAAGCAGTTAAACGTTGCTAAACCTGCCAGAGATGCATGAAATGCTGCAGCGGCGGGGATTCGAGAGGCAGGGCTGTAAATTCTGCCCAGATAAGTTGTTCCACAATCAAGGAGCACCCCGGTGGAGTTTGCAGGCAGGGGAGTGAATCAGCTGCAAGGCAGGGAATTCATGGGCAGGGAAACAGCAGGAAGCGGGGAGGCAGCCCTGCCCCTCGCAGGTGATCCTCCAGCATTAAAAAATCCAATTCAAAAGCTCCAAAGCTTTGTTTCTGCTGCTGGACAACACCAGGGCCACACATCCCTCCTTTGTTCCAACCCTCCCAAGAGCCAAAAAAGTGGGGAAAAAAAAGAAAAAAGTAAAGTTTGACCCAGACACTGAGTAATGCAAGTGCCCTGTGCTGATAACCAGGCCCTGAGAGCCAAGGCTGGCGTAATTAAAGCTCCAACTAACAGAGGAATAATGAAAATGAACCATTTCCACCCCACAATCTTAATTGTGCTGGTGGAGAGGCATCCCCACGCCCTCCACAAATCAAGCTGAAATGCTGGGAGATGACATAAGTGGCAGAACAATCACAGGAGTGTGAGCAGGAGACTCTGTTCCAGCCCTGGCTCTCCCACAGCCACACTCCGTCCCAGCTGGGACCAGGCTTCCTTGTGAAACAGTTCATTTAAGGATTTTTTGGGGTTTTCGGCTGTGATAAATGGGAATTATGTACTGTCAGTTTATGTAATTGTTACACAACTGCACGGACTTCAAAAGTATTCATGTGGCCACAAATTATATTATTTAAAAATCTGGAATAACCGGTCAAAATCGCAATAGCTGGGTTACCAGAGCCTCCAGAAGCACAGCTCCAAAAAGGGCTGTGGAATCCAACCTGTCAAGGTTTCAGGCTCATTCCTTTATCCAGGGGGGACAATTCCCTGAGCTGAGCACGGGAACAAACCACAAACAGGTCCCCACTCCTCTTCCCAGCCTTTGGAATCTGCTGCCACCTCTTATCTTTTGCATCAGCAGAGGTTTTATCCCCTGAAGATTATCTGGAGTTGCCATGCAAGTGGCAACATTTATTATTGTGGCACAAAGTGCTGCAGGTTATTTATAGGTCCTAAAGCCAACACGAGTGTCCTGCCCCAAAGCCAAGGCTGGGACATTTTTTTTTTTTAGGGTTTGAAAGCCCCAAATTCTCACAGAGGGCTGCAAATCCTATTACTGGAGTGAGTAAGAATGATCAAGTGTTTACTTGTAATACCTTGACTAAACACCACAGCCTGCACTAATTCCACCCTGCTCTTAAAGATGCCAAATAACAAAGCAAACAAAGCACTTTGGAGGCTCTGGAAACTTTTTTCCAGGTTTTTGGGGGTTTTTATTTTTGGTGTCAGAGCCTCAGAAGTCACCCTGTGGCTCGGGAAGCATCACTGGTGTGGATTATTGCCATTATCCAGCTGGGATGGAGCAGAGGAGCTGGCAGTTATTACTGATTGGGATTCAAGAAACTGCATCTTCAAGAGGAGGCAGCACGTGTACTTCCCCCACCCAAAAATCCAAAATTTTGTGTTTTAACACAAACCCACTTTTGCCTCAATGAGTTTACAGCAACTCCAAAGCTCTCAGGGGGTGCTGCAAACAGAACATCTCTGCTGAGCTCAGGTTCAGGTAGAAAAGATCCTTCACTGAAGTAATTTGACCCCAAAATCCTTATTTTTTACACCAGCTGACCAAAAATACGCTGATAGTTATCAATTTTTGTACATCAAGCCCTGAACAGAGAGCACCCTGTGGGTGAGCTGGTTGTTGCTCTGCCCATCAAGGTGCAGGGCAGTTCCCCTCTAATTTCCTGGGATTTCCCTGTGCTTGGCAGCTCAGGAAAGCTCTCCAGACCACAGCCCTGCCGGGGCAGGTGAGCTCACCCCCGATGCACCTCCCTGCCCGCTTCCAGGCAGCCGGGAGGCGGCTCCCGCCGGCCTCACGGTGTTAAAAGTTATCCAAAATAAAGATACATTCTTTAGATCTGTTTCAAAAACCTCGCCCTCTGCGGTTCCTTGGTGTCTTTCCCCCTCCTCTCTCCTGTGGGAACGCCAGGGCAGCTCCCCAGGATGTGGAAGGGAAAATGTCAGAGCCTGGGACCTGCGGGGTCACTGCACACCTCCAGCTGGAATCCTCTGCTCCAGCAACCCACCTGGACACAGCAGGATATTCAACCTCCTCTCCAGGAATAAAACCTGCAAACCGGCCAGCCCTGCCAGGAGGCACCTCCGGGCAATTCCTGCATCCCAGCGACTGCTCGCGCTCCTCTCCTCAAGCAGTGGCTTAAAAAGCCACTTAAAAAGCCACTGCTCCCCTCCCCCCGAGCGTTATTTTTAACCTGGATGATTTCAGTGATCCCATTTACAGCCCCACAGCTCTAACAGGGCCGGGGTGTGAGGACAGGAATAGGTGGCTGGGATTAAAGGGGAAGAAAATGAGAATTTCCCAAAGCGGCCTTTTTTAAACTGAAACACCCCAAAAGGCAGCAGAGGCCCCTGAGGTTGGAACCAAACCCCGGAGCCAGGATCAGATTTAGGTTTTCAATATTTCTGTCACATGACACAAAGTTACTCACGTCTGCTCGGGTTCCTGCAGGTCCCCAAAGTCACAAGATTCCCCAATCATCCCCAGCCTTGGGCCTCCCCCAGGGAAGAACTCGCCTTCTTCTCTACCTGTGCTTCAGATCCTGCAGGTTTTACTGCCTCCTTGCATTTATTACCCGGTTAAAACCAGGTTGAACCACCCCTTCAGCACAGCAAGGCTTAGATCTGCTCACATCTCAAGACTTAAAACCTCCCTCAAATATTTTTTTAAGCTCTCCGTGCGACCATCTGATTTTCAGGGGAGAAAGAAAAAAAAAAAAAGGCCCCAAACCAGTTATCCTTTTATAATTCTATACCAATCTCAAATCGCAAGGAAAAATTAAATAAATAAATAAATAAATAATAAAAAAAAAGACGTGAAAGCAAATTCGGGAAATCTTGGCAGAGCAGCCAATGAGAATGACTGGGAGAGACTTGAAGGATTTCACAGAACTGGTTCCGGCTCCGAAGCACGAGCACGGCGAGTGCGACCATCTGATTTTCAGGGGAAAAAAAAAAAAAAAAAAAAGGCCCCAAACTAGTTATCCTTTTATAATTCTATACCAATCTCAAATCGCAATGAAAAATTAAATAAATAAATAAATAATAATAAAAAAAAAGACGTGAAAGCAAATTCGGGAAATCTTGGCAGAGCAGCCAATGAGAATGACTGGGAGAGACTTGAAGGATTTCACAGAACTGGTTCCGGCTCCGAAGCACGAGCACGGCGAGGAGGATTCTTCTCTCCTTGCAGAAAAACCCGCAGCGTTTCGGCTCCGCAAGCCTTCTCCCCGGCTCCCATCCCCAGCCCCTCCGTGACACCGAGGCCTACCCTCCCCGAGAGCCACCCGGGGGGACTTCTCCTTTCACGGCTTATTTGGCTTTTCCAGCAAAATCGCCGTCCACCCGCAGGCCCGCTGGGAGCGCGGCTCGGGGGTCCCCGAGGGGCTGGGGGCACGTCCCGGGCTGATCCCGCATCCCCCCGGGGGGACCCGCGGGGGCCGCAGCGGGGCTGGGCGGGGCTGCCCCCGAGCCGAGCCGGGTTTTGGGGGTCCCGGGGGGGCTTTGCCCGTCCATCGTGAATGGAAACACGGAGCAGAGGCGGGGGAGCCCCCGGGGGCCTCCCTGCACCTGCCCGGCCGGGCCCTGAGGGGAGCGCAGCGCAGCGGGGGGAGCGCGGCGCGGGTCCCTCAGGGCACGGCCGGGCAGGGGGCGAGCGGGGGCCCTGAGGGAGCACCCGGCGGGCGAGGAGGGCATTGAGGGGCCCCCCGGGGCACGAGGGGTCCCCTCGGGGGGCGCGGGCCGGCGGGACCCCTCGGGGGCCGGCCCGGGAGGAGGAGGATGAGGAAGGGGAGGATGAGGAGGAAGAAGGGGGGGGGGCCCTACCTGCACGGCGGCCTCCAGCTTGCCCTCGAAGGTGAAGTCGATGAGGTCCGGCTTGAGGCAGAGCCCATAGTTGAGGGGGGACACGTCGGCGGGCAGCCGCTCGAACGGCCGCTTCTCCGGCATGGCGGGAGCGCGGGGGGTGCGGGGCTGCGCCCCCCCCGGCGGGGCGGCGGCGGCGGCGGCGGGGGGAGCCCCGCGGGGGAGAGGCGGGGGGAAAAGGCGGCGGGAGGAGTTGCGTAAGCGCTGGAGAGGAGTGCGCATGCGCCAGGACACGCCCCGCGAGGACACGCCCCCTTCCCGGCAACGGGGCGGCCCCGGTAACGGGGATCCCAGTGAGCCCCGGTAATGGGGATACCGGTAACGGGGATCCCGGTTATGGAGATCCTGGTGTGTGTGTAATGGGGATCCCGGTAACGGGGATCCCAGTGAGCCCCGGTAATGGGGATACCGGTAACGGGGATCCCGGTTATGGAGATCCTGGTGTGTGTGTAATGGGGATCCCGGTAACGGGGATCCCGGTAACGGGGATCCCAGTGAGCCCCGGTAACGGGGATCCCGGTAATGGAGATCCTGGTGTGTGTGTAATGGGGATCCCGGTAATGGAGATCCCGGTAACGGGGATCCCAGTGAGCCCCGGTAATGGGGATCCCGGTAACGGGGATCCCGGTAATGGAGATCCTGGTGTGTGTGTGTAATGGGGATCCCGGTAACGGAGATCCCGGTAACGGGGATCCCAGTGAGCCCCGGTAATGGGGAAACCGGTAACGGGGATCCCGGTAATGGGCATACCGGTAACGGAGATCCTGGTGTGTCTGTAGTGGGGATCCCGGTAACGGGGAACCCGGTAATGGGGATCCTGGTGTGTCTGTAATGGGGATCTCGCTAATGAGGATCCCGGTAATGAGGATCCCGGCGAGTCCCGGTAATGGGGATCCCGGTAACGGGGATCCTGGTGTGTCCGTAATAGGAGGTCCCAGTGTGCCCGGTAATGGGGATCCCAGTGAACCCCGGTAACCCCAATGTGCCCCATACTGGGGGATCCCGGTGTGCCCGGTACTGGGGATCCCGGTGTGCCCGGTACTGGGGATCCCCATTGTGCCCGGTACTGGAGGATCCCGGTGTGCCCGGTACTGGGGATCCCGGTGAACCCCGGTAATCCCAATGTGCCCCATACTGGGGGATCCCGGTGTGCCCGGTACTGGGGATCCCGGTGTACTGGGGATCCCGGTGTGCTCAGTACTGGAGGATCCCGGTGTGCCCGGTCCGGGTGGGCCCGGCACAGTGCCCCCCATCCACCGCGGCTCCCGGTGCTCCCGGTTCGGCCGGATGCTGGCTCCCCGTTAGCTGGGGGCTCTCGGGCCAGCTGCCCTGGGCCGGGATTGGCACAGTGCACCCAGGGGCTCCTGGTTTTGGGGTGGCACCGGCACCCCGCCAGTGGGGCTCCCAGTTCCCCCAGTTCAGGCTCCTGGCTCTCCCAGTGCACTCAGGCTGGGGGCAGAGCTGCAATGGTGCCCCCGTGCTGGGACACCCGGGTTTCCCTCTTTGCTCTCTATAATTCAGTTTATTTCTCACTATTCCTTCCCCAAAGAGATTTATTTTTGTTAAAAGTGACACTTTGCTGTTTAAAAAAGATGAGTTAGCGCTGAGCCAGGGAGAGAGCGAGCAGGGAGTGGAGAGGGTGAGCAGGGATTTGAGGAGAGGAGTTGGATCTGAGGAGGGAATGGGGATTTGGGAAGGAAAAGGGATTCGAGGAGGGAAAAGGGATTTGGGGAGGGGAGCAGAGATTCCAGGCAGGGGGGAGCAGGGGTTTTAGGGAGGGAGCAGCAACTCGAGAGAGGGAGATGGGATTTGAGGAGGGGAACAGGGTTCGAGAGGGGAGAAGGGGTTCGAGGGAGGGAGCAGGGATTTCGGGAGGGAGCAGGGATTTCAGGGAGGGAGCAGGGATTTCGGGAGGGAGCAGAGATTCCAGGCAGGAGGGAGCAGGGATTTCGGGAGGGAGCAGGGATTTCAGGGGGAGCAGGGATTTCAGGGAGAGAGCAGGGATTTCGGGAGGGAGCAGGGATTTCGGGAGGGAGCAGGGATTTCGGGAGGGAGCAGGGATTTCGGACAGTCTTATTTGTTTCATCAGTGTGAGATCAAATTAAACTGTTACAAAGAAGCAAAGTAACTCAAATAATCAAATTCAAGAATGTGAAAGGTAACAGACTTGCTTTGTTTTGCAGTGGGTATTTTCTGTCAAAACAGAACTTCATAGGATTCGCTGAGACCCGCAGGAGCCGGCGGCACGAACTGGGGCAGGGAGAAAGTACAGGCGGCTCTCAGCACATGGTTGCCAAAAGCCAGCGCTGCCGAGCCCGGGTTCATCCGGGGCTGCCGCGGGGCCGCATTGTGCTGCAGAGCCCCGGGGAAGGAAAGGGAGACAAGGGAACAGCTGGGAACAGCTGGAAACAGCTGGAGCCGCGCGGGGGGTTCGGGCAGCTGCCGCCCTGCTCCGTGCTGCCCGCTCGCAGCGGCGCGGAGCCCCGCGGGACACGGGGACAGGCTGCGGGGACATCGGCGCCGGCAGCTGGCCCAGGGAATGGTTGAGGATTTTATGGAATCCTGGCGGGGTTCTGGGCGGAAAGCCCCGTCTGCCCTGCGGCCAGGGAAGGGCTGGACCCCACGGTTTGGCGAGCAGGCTCCGTGTGGGGTTTGCGGCCGGGGTGGATGGGACTGGGGTCAGCCTGGCCGCGCTGGGGACGCCCCGAGGCCACCGCAGCAGGACGGCGGGAGAAGCCCAGGCGAGCCCCGGCCGTGCTGGGGGACTTTGCCAGGGCAGAAGTCCCGTCCCCGCCCGCCTTGCTGCGGGTGGCTGTCCCCGGCAGAGCCACGGGAAGGTCAGGGGCAGGATAAAACTATTCCTGGAGCAGAGCCGCGGGAGGGAGGCGGAGGGGATTGTCTCCTCTGAGCTCTAATTCCCGTCCCGCACGGCCGCGGGGTCACCGGGTGCCCTCCTGCCCCGCCGGGGGGGTCTCGGTGGGCACGGGGCTTGTGCTTGGCAAAGGGCTCCGGGCGCTTCCCGCGGGCGCTGCTCCGCACGGGAGATGCTGGGAGGTGACAGATGCTGCTGTCAGCAAGAATCCAGAAAATTAAAAAAAAAAAAAAGGAAGAAAGAGAGAATGAGCGAGGCTGCACGGAGAAAGGCGGGGGGAAGCCGCCTCCTCCGCCGTGTCCCGACCAAACCGGGTTCTCCTGTAGCGCCAGACCGCGGAGGGCCCGGGGACAAACGGACGGGGTGGAAGCCAGGAGCTGTAATTAGCCCAGAGCCTCTGCAGCCACCAACCGCTGTCAGTGCTCCTTTCTAATTAGGAAAAACAAGGGGGGAGAAAAATTTTAAAAGGGGAGGAAAGAAAAGAATGAAATTCCCGAGAGAGGCTTTTCTTTTCTTCTCTCTCTTTCGCCGGAGTTCTCGCCGGTGCTGCCGGGGCGGGAGCAGCCGCGGGGCACCGGCTAATCCTGCCTCGCAGGTCTGGGCCGCCGGCTTAGGGCTGGAATCTCTGGTATTCGGGAGCACGGGGACAGCAGCGCTCCAAGCTCTGGGGCCTCCTGCTCCGCGGGTCATTCCCGGGGGGTTGGGAGGCGTTTTTCCCTGGATTTTCCCCTCTCCGTGTGTGCGTGCGGCTCCTCCCGCCTCACCTGGGACAAGTTGCACAAGGATGGAGGCAAAGGTGGCCCAGCCCCTGCCTGGAGCTGGCGGGGACAGCTTGGGGCGGGTGCCGAGCCCTGATCCCAGCCCTGATCCCGCTCTCCCACGGGACAAATCCCCACGTGGTGGTTTTGCAAGGAGACGAGCACAGCTGGGCTGGGGACATCATCCAGTGGCATCTCCACCGCCCCATCCCAAATTTCCTCAGGGATGCTCCCGGGCCGAGCCCCCCAGGAGCCCCCACGGGCAAGGAGGCGGCTCCAGAGGGGTTCCAGAGCCCCCAGCGCTGCCCACGGAGGTGGAACCGGCCGGGATGGCATCAAGGAGAGCCAGCTGGGCTGGGAAAATCCAGCCCCACCAGTCGGGAGCCGTGGGAAAGCGCCGGGGCCGTGGGGCTCGGGGCCGGTGACTCAGCCCGGCGGCTCCAGGACTGGCCCCGCAGCCCCGGGGCTTCATCCCGGTTTTCCAGAGTTCTCCGCGTTTCCCAGCGGAGCCGCTGCGGGAAGCGCTCTCTGCTGGTGTTGCCCCCCGCGCACCCCAGCGGGCACCACTCCGAATTTTGGGAGGTGCTGGCGGGCTGCAGACGCCATCCCCCCCAGGCAGCGGGGCCCGGCTCCCCCCGCGCCCCCCGCCCAGCCCCGCACGGCCGCTCCCGGCTCGTCCCGGCTCAGATAAGAGCTCGGGCCGGGATCAACGGTCTCGGGCACAGCGGAGCCGTCACTACACATTAACCAGCTGTCCGATGGAGCAACGCGTCCTCGGAGCCAAGATCAACAGTCCCCGAAGCGAGCTGGGAGCGGGGCCAGGCGCAGCCAGCGCGGCCGGAGCCTCCGGCGAGCCCCCCGGCCCCGAGGGGCCCCCCGGGCTTCGCAGCCCGGGCTGGGCTCGCCTTTGGCTCGGCGGGGGACGAGCATCCCCGGGGCGTCCGGGGGTGGGCTTCCCAGGGAAGAGGGCTTGGGGTGAGCCGGTTTGTGATTTAGGGCGGGGGTGCCCCATCCTGGATTGTCCTCGGGACATTCGGAGGGACCCCCGAGCCCCCCCGCGCTGCTGTCCCGGGGGCATCCGGAGGGACCCCTGCCCCCGACCCCCCTCCACCTCCAGGGGCTGCTGCCGTGGGAAATCCCAAAAGCATCGCACAAACCCCACGGAGCTGCTGGGGGGGCGCAGGAACCTGGGGGGCTCTGCGCGTCCGGGGGGGTCTGGAAATGCGGTGCAGGTCTGGGGGGCTCCGACACCCGCAGCATCCCCCGCACGGGGCAGGGTGGGGGTCCCGGGCCTGCGGCACGTGACCCGTGTGGGGGTGGGGGATGGGAGCAGCGACCCCCCGCCCCCCGCACTGCACCACGCACGGGGGTCCCCCCTCCGCGCGCTCGGGGGGTGGGCGGGGCCTCCCGCGCCGGCCCCGCCCCCCCGGGGCTCCGCAGCCGATGGAATTTTCCACTCGCGGGCGCGGGCGCGGGCTCCCGCCGGCCACGCCCCTTCCCGCGCGCGCGCGCGGCCCCGCCCCCG